ACATTATCAATGACAGAACAACTTAGTTTTTTAAGGATAATTGAAATAAATTAAAGCTATATTTTACATTCTAATAACCAATCTTACATAAATTAATAGTTGTTTTAAACATTATACAAAATGATAATTTTAGTAGGACATACAAATAAGACACGGGAAAGTGCATCTGGCTAAATCAATTTCACTGGTCAAGGGATAATGCAGGAGCAATGCTTGTGGAAAAATAACTGGAATATCCATTGAAGTATATCTTGGAAGTAAGCTGAGGCAACTTTAACAAGGAGTTTGCATGAATCATCCTGTTGATAATGCACTTAAAAGGCATTTCAGCAACAAGAACAACCAACTTATCATCCCTTGGTGTTTGTTTAGATGTCTTTGACTGGTAGCAACCGATGAAAACACCTAACACAAGTCATTCAGAAAATTTATTGGCAATCAGTAGGATCATACCAACGGTACAACTTGAAAACCCCGCCTGCCAATTGTGAAGGAATATCCTAGATTGAAAAAACAACCGAGGTTGAGTGTCTGCAACCTTTAACCTGCTGATAAAGATTAAATTCAAAGACTAATAGCTCATATGATATTATGATCGGTGATGGCTCGGGTCTCTTCCTGTGTCCACACATCTCACAACACTTTTAAATTGAAAAAAGGTTCTTTATGTTCCTTCTATGGAAAAAAATCTTATTTTTATTTCTCAATTTTGTACCACTAACTCTAATAATGTTTCCATTGAATTCTTACCAACTGCTTTTCTTGTAAAGAACATTCACAAGGGGCCAACATTTTTAAAGGGTAACACTAAAGATGACGTCTATTGAGTGATTCATATCTCCACCCTTGCTTGCTTTTTCAGCATCTGAACAACTTTATCTAAGTGGCACTAAAGATTAGGACAACTAGCTTTTCATATTCTGAAACAGATTGTTTCTAAAAATAAATTCCAAAAATAAACTTGATTTCTCTTCTTTATTTTCTAACAATTTCTTATGTAATGCTTGTCTGAGTAATAAAAGCTATAAATTATCATTTTCTTAATCCACAATTATATCTTTTCAACCCTCTGAAACTATCTTTTCTTATGTTTAAACGTTTTCAATTATATCAAATAATAGATTTAAATATTATATAATTTTTGTTGATCATTTCACCAAATATATTTGATTCTATCCTCTTAAACAAAAGTTAGAATTCAAGGATATTTTTATTAGATTTAAAGCCATTGTTAAAAAATATTTTGAAAAAACCATCAAAACACTTTATTTTGACAATTTTAGTGAATATATTGCCCTTGCCTATTTTCTTGCAACAAATGGTATTTCTCATCTCACCACACCATCTTACACACCTGAACACAATAGATTTTCTGAACATAGACATGTTCACGTTATAGAAACTGGACTAGCATTACTCTCTCATACATCTCTTGTTTTAAGTTATTGGATTTAAGCATTCGCCATTGCAATTTATCTAATAAGTCGTATGCCAACACCCACCTTGAACCTTTCTTCTCCCCATAAACAAGTTTTTACAACTTCTAATTACTAAAAAATTAAGAGTTTTGATTGTTTATGTTATTCGTGGCTTAGACCATATACAACCAACAAATTAGACACCCGCTCCAAACCATGTGTCTTCCAAGATTATTTTTTAACTCAAAGTGCCTATAACTGTCTTGATGCATCCACTTCCAAAATATATATCTCTAGGCATGTTAGATTTGTTGAATCTGTCTTTCCTTTTAGTCATCTCCTTTGATGCCACCACTCACTCTGTCATCTGCAATGGGTGCCTAACAATAATCTCCCAGTGAAGCTCTACTAATGCAAAACCTGCTCGCTACATCTCCTCCATCAGCATCATTTTCACCTGACTAGGCTGTCACATTTTCACCCCCACCGACACATGATCCTTTACATACTAATAATTCTCCACACCAATCACTACATATATATGAACCCACCCGAGCCTTAGCCATAACTAACCCACACCATGACTGCTAGAGCTTAAAAACAATATCCGCAAGCCTGTCACCAAAATAAACCTTCACATTCAATTAACCAAAGGTGATGATCATGAACTGAAAACCTTAAAAGATCATAAATGGTGTCAAGCCATGTCTGAAGAGTATGATGCTATAGTAAGAAATGACACCTGGGCACTAGTTCCACCGAATATCAGCTAAAATCTAGTTAGATGTAAATGGATATTTCGAACTAAACACAAATTTGATGGTTCTATTGACCAGTTCAAGGCCCAGTTGGTTACAAAAGGCTTCCACCAACATCCTGTAATAGGGCTCGGCTCTCTACAGTACTCGTACCGGTTCTTCCTCTCTCCACATATCTCACAACACTTTTAAATTGAACAAAGTTCTTTATGTTTCTTCTATGAACAAAAAATCTCATTTTCATTTCTTAATTTTGTACCTCTAACTCTAATAATATTCCCATTGAATTCTTACCAACTGCTTTTATTGTAAAGAACATTCACACGGGGGCAATATTTTTAAAGGGCAACACTAAAGATGATATTTATGAGTGGTCGGTATCTCCATCCTTACTTGCTTTTCAGCATCAAAACAACTTTATTTGAGTGGCATCAAAGATTAGGACACCCAGTTTTTTATATTCTAAAACAAATTGTTTTTAAAAATAAATTTCAAAAATAAATTTGATTTCTCTTCTAAAAACAATATCCGCAAGCCTGTCACCAAAATAAACCTTCACATTCAATTAACAATTAACCAAAGGTGATGATCATGAACTGAAAACCTTAAAAGATCATAAATAGTGTCAAGTCATGTCTGAAGAGTATGATGTTTTAATAAAAAAATGGCACCTGGGCTCTAGTTCCACCAGATATCAGCCAAAATCTAGTTAGATGTAAGTGGATATTTCGAACTAAATACAAATTTAATGGTTCTATTGACCAGTTCAAGGCCCAATTGGTTGCAAAAGGCTTCCACCAACATCCTGTAATAGACTACCAAGACACATTCAATCCTGTTTTAAAACCGATCATTGTCTGAATTGTTCTCAGTATCGTAGTTAGCTATGAATGAACCTTACGACAACTTGATGTAAACGATGCCTTTCTTCAAGGACATCTATAAGAGAATGTATACATGTCTCAACCGCTAGGATTTATTGATATTGACAACCCTCTTATATCTGTAAACTCAACGAAGCATTTATGGCTTGAAACAAACCCTTCCGGCGTGGTACCATGTACTTAGAACATTCCTTCTATAGTTTGGTTTTCAAAATTCATATGCTGATACATCACCTTTTGTCTTTCATGCGGATGGCCACACCATGTATCTTCTTGTTTATGTTGATGATTTAATTCTCACAGGAGACAATGCTACCAAAGGTAATCACTTCATTGCCATCCTTGCTCAGTGCTTTTCAATCATAGAACTTGGTCTGCTCATTTACTTTTTGGGTGTGGAAGTTATCCCAAACATACATGGCTTGTTAATCTCATAAAGGAGATATATTATGGATCTTCTCACTCAAATCAAGATGCATGATGTAAAGGCTGTACTCACTCCCCTACCATCCAGCCCCACTCTCAATCTCACCTCAGGTTCTTCTCTTTCTGATCTCACTAAGTATCGCCAGGTAGTTGGGAGCCTTTAATATTTGCTAATAACAAGACTAGACATTGCCTTTGCTATCAACAAATTATCCCAATATATGCATTGCCCAACAACTGAACATTAGTCCTTTGTCAAACAGCTACTACGATAACTTGTTCACTCTGTTGATGATGGATTACAACTCTACAGAGACTCTACTCTCAGTTTGCATGCATTCTTAGACACTTCTCTCAGTTTACAAGCCTTTTTTGATGCAGATTGGGCTGGAGACAGACACTTTTTGGTCATCCAGTGCTTACATTGTTTATCTTGGCCAAAATCCTATCTCCTGGTGTTCTAGAAAGCAACAGACAGTTGCTAGATCTTCCACTAAGGTAGAGTATTGCTGAGTTGCCAATACAGTCGCTGAACTTAATTTCATTTGTTATCTTTTAACTAATCTTGGTATTTCGCTTCCCTAGTGCCCTGTTATTTACTATGATAATATAGGAGCAACTAAACTCTGTTCCAATCCGATTTTTCATTTCTGTATGAAGTATCTTGCCATAGACTTTCATTTCATATAGCTCGTATCTCCTCTGAAGATCAGCCTGTGGATGCTCTTACCAAGCCCCTTCCAGAACATTGTTTTCTTCAACTTAAAAACAAGATTAGAACTCTCTCTTGAGCTTTATCTTGAGGGGGATTAACAAAGATAATCAGTTACTTCACTTACTCTTCCTTATCAGGTTTTTTTATTTAAATATATTCAAATGTATTTAGTTGTCATTCATAAATATAGAATTTAGTTGTAACCTTCCTAGTTTGTAAGATCTTCAATCACTTGATTTGTATCCATACGGTTGTTTAATGAATGAGAAGTAATCAGCTTTGCAATTCTTTACTACTTTACATATTTTTGCCCTTGAACCTCTTGCTCCTGCACCAGCACCACCAAAGCCTAAAAAGATGATGGCGCAGAGAGTCCTATGGTTCCAGAAGATACTTCTGGTTCAGTAATATGCATGGTGCATAATACTCTGCTCGTGGTTGGAGGAGGCTTAGTTGCCGCTGCTCTTCCTCTGTGACCATCGAGTTTTGGCCAGGTATCTTGGAGTGTCTTAGTTGCTGCTGCTCTTCCTCTGTGACTATCGAGTTTTGGCCAGGTATCTTGGAGTGTGGTCATTTCTTCACCAGTGGTTCATGATTTTGCTGGTTACAATGAACGGTGATGTTCAACAGTTTAAATGCTTGAAAAATTGTCATATCCACTCAATTTTACTCGTTTTGTGAATAACTTTGCATTTAATTCAGTATTTTTATTGTTCATTGATCTTTCCTTCTCTTCCTTTTCCTGCTTTGATCTCTATGTGGAATTTTAATGGATATCGGCCAAAAACATTTGTTGATGTGCCTTAATTTTTCAATCATATATTGATTTGGAAACAGATGGAGCATGCTACCTGTCTCTTTAAAGAAAAACAGCAGTAAATACAAAAACACAACTCTTAACAGTATCTGCTTAAATACTACCACATACATTTTCAAAACATACCACCACTGAATTTCTTCTGCTGAAATGCAATATACTTGTGCAAAACATGAAGCAAACTAAGCTGTGCTGACTCTGCATTAAAGAACAAAACCAAGAGGCTTAAAATGGCTAATAAGTTGCACCTCGATCAAATCATGGTTGCATTTCAGAGGGTTGTAAAATCAAGAGTTTCTAGCCCTTCTATCGGCATTCATGCAGATTCCAACATCTTTTTAGTTGAGCTCTGATTATTCAAAAGCGCCCCATGCTAGAAATTATATAATTGATCTGTTACATTTCTGACTCTCCCACTTCAGAAATTAGTGCGAAGCTGGGAAAGGCCATAGATACATCCCTGGAAGAAACAAAATGGTCATGCTGGAAGTCTATTATAGTAATCAATGTTATCCTAGAAAACATAAAGCCATGCATATCATATGAACCCATGATTTGAAACCATGCTCAAGGAAAAAAAAAACAAAAACTTAAACTCAACAAACTTGACTGCATCAGCAAGTTGACTGATGGAACAATAGCTATCAAAGAGGAACGTTGAAGGTGCGAGGGTTTTTAGTTAAGTTTTTATGGGATTAAATGTGAAGAAAGTTCACCAGAAAATGCAGTGATCACCGATCCAGGTTCAATTTTGGGGCACTGTCAAGATTAATAGTTTTCCAGTAACAAATTCAGATGCAGGGTTCCTTTGCACAATTTACAAACTGATTTTGGAACTTGCTACTCACTTTAAGTAAGGTAGAGTCATGTTCTTGATAATAGAAGGATTCTTCAACACAAATTCCTTCCATTCTTCAGGATCAATTTTTCCATCGTCTTTTGAATCAGCATCACTAAATGTCTGTCGAGGAAACCATTCGAAAAAAAAGAAATATCAGAATGTTTCAATCACATAAGCAAGAATTAACAGATTCGACAAGACCAAACCAATTGGAACCTTATCAACAACTGTCTGGACGACATCATCTGACAATTCCAAATCCGATTCCTGAAGAAGGGCCACTACCATCTCCTTCAACTATCAAATAATCCAAAATTTAGGCAGAATATAAATTTGAAAACACAATCATTGCTAAAATAATCATTTTCATTTTTCAAAACATTCGACTCAATTCTCTGATTTTATAATTCTTCTGAAGTTCGTGAATGTAGGATTATGGGGGAAAAAACTTTAAACATTCAAGTTCTCAGCATATTATAGGAAATATACTATATGGTATGCAAGGGAAAGAAACGGAACACACCTCCTCCTGTTCAATGAAACCAGTTTGCCTTAGATCATATAATCTGAAAGCAACTGCAGTAAGATTCTTCCCTGATTAGTAATTTATTCATCACCTGACTAACAAAAACCAAATTGACATGCAGAAGAAAATGGATATTTGTGTGTGAGGGTGGGCGGGTGCAGGTACACCTACATGCATTATAGTCGAGGGAAATATTAACCTTACAGTAGATTTTTTCTTCAACTGGAGCATTTGGATGGAAGACACCCAAAGATTGAACGAATTCTCCAAACTCAATTACTCCATTGCACTTGACATCAAACAAATCAAACATCTGCAGAAGTACCAGAAGTAGATGCAACTTAGAAAGAAGGTAAAGGCCATAGCACCAGGCGGCTGCACCATGACCATATGAGGAAGAATCTCTAGCATTGTGAATTATTAAAATTCTCTGAGAGGAGCCATAAAAGGCCTGAAAGATGCACCAAAATCTATACTTCCAGTGGACTGGCAAATAATTATTTTAATCTAATAACTTAAACTTATAGGTAAGGTTTTTCAAGATATGATTTATATTATTTTCTAACACATCCTCTCGAGTAAAAATTCATTAGGCTTGAAATTTGCACAGACCCATATTACCTTATACTTAATTTTTATCAAATAAATGAAAATGATGAGATTTGAACTCATAAATACTTAATCATTAAGGCTCTGATACCATGCTAAAGAAACATTTCAACCTAATAATTTAAATTTTTAGATAAAATCCCAAAATATAATTTACGTTATTATTTAAAATTTTGCTGTTTCATATAATAATTTTCACGATATGAAATGGTACTTTTAGCAGGGCAAGCAACTAACTCTGAGCAAGCTGTTTCTAGCAGAAACTTAAACTAATAATTAGGAACAGAATTGTTTTTCCTTCTCCCCTTTTCCCTAACAGCATCATATGCATGCTTCTTATTGTTTCAATATTGTCAAAAAAAGGTTAATATACAGGAACCAATCAAGGCACTCTCTATCCATCCATGTCGTAAACAAAAAACAACAGTTGTCCAGAAATTAGTGGCATATCCATTGAAGCATAGCTAGGAAGTAGGCTTGTTGATAATGCATACTCACAGGGTGTTCCAGAAGCAAGAACTGTCAGCTCTTTACACCATGCTGTCGTTTTTGTCCTCTTTGACTGGCAGCAGCCCATGATCAAGACAACCAGCACGATCCACTTATAAAACTTTTTGGAAATCAGCAGGCATGCCAACGGTGGTTTCTACTGAAAAAAATCCCACCTGGCAATTCCCAAAGAAATACGCTAGATTGGAATAATTGCTAAGCTTGAGTATCTGCAGCCTTTAACCTGCTGAGAAAGATCAAATCCACGAAACAAAGACATATATCTGGTCATGATCAGGAACAACAAAAAAAAAAAAAAATCAAACCAATTGATCCACCATTGCTGAAAGCACAGAGATCAAGGTTAAAGCAAAAATTCTTACCTTGAATTGCCGGATTTTTGGAATCTTATGGATATCCCTCTTCGTTTAAGGATGTAAGAGCTCAACTTAAGTGGTAAGATCAAGAAGACGGTGTCATCAGCACAAAGAAAACCCACAAAGCAGACCTTTACTTGTCTATGGCAAGACTCCTCCGGTCAGGTATGATGAGTTTTCAGCAACCATTTTCTTCCATGTCACTGCCAGTTGACATTTGTCCAAAACGTACTCTCTTTTAGCCACACGTCCAATTTGTAATCTTTTTGAAAGCTTGCGTCTATAAATCTACATCCTCAAGAGCATAAATTAATATAAAGATATGGTTGAATTTTCAAAACTTTCGAACACGACAAAGAATTTCACAAGT